CAAATCACAGTCAGCCCTGAAATGGTCTAGCAGTATTCTCTCCCTTATAATTTTTGTAGAGACTACTAGTACGTGCAACTCATTTTCACTTCAATTTCCCTGTCTCCATCCAGACTGGACATGTCTAGAAATTCATAGTGATTTTTGGATGGAGAGTATCCCTACTCCATGGGTTTGTAACATGCAATTCAACAAGCATTTGAGCATCTCCAGCATGCTGAGACTAACCGGTAAATATATGCACAGGGACTGTCGCTGGGCAGATGGCCGCTTCTGCACCATGAGCTGGAAATTATTCGGCAGAAATCCATCATGTTAAACAAGATACTTCGTCACTGCCACCTCATTTCTCGGCCTTGCTTGACTAGAACTCTATAGTCTGGATTTCTTTGAAGTGTGGTTGCAAAGCCCTTCACTTAATAGCAAACCTATAAGCAAAGGCCTCTTTACAGTGGAGTGTGGAGTAGCATGAGCACATCCCTGGGCACAACAGGAAGGGCTCAGACCCTGTAGAACAACGGCAGCGCACACGTTTGCTTCAGGGAAGTAACACTCTGCATGGGACAGGTGTAAGGTAGAACGGAATTATGCAGACCCAAATAAGGGTTGAATAAAAGCAACTTTGCGGAAAGGTATGAATGCCATTTACTGAGGCACCCATGTTGGCTTTGTCAGCATTTAATGCACAATTAAGAGTATAGACTGATTTCTCATCAAGGGAGGGTTTGCAACATAAGAAAGCAACCCCAGCTTTGCTGCTACAGAGAAAGGTGGTGGGTTCCTTTCCTAGGAAGACGAGTCAGAGAAGGAGTGTTCCAAAGCTTGGGTGACAAATGGGCAGGGGGTCGGGCATTCGTCTTCTGGCCTCAGTCTTGTCTTTTTAGCAAGAATTTGGATGAAGCCACAGAGGTATGTTTATTCAATAATGCTGGGAGATGTATTATAGCTGACATACTGGACAAAATAATTTATATTCAAAACATGCTGGAATCCTGGGAGGGAACTAAATGAGAAAATCTAATAAAGTAGTATGATACTCAGGTGACTGAGTCACCTGTCCAACTAAGGTCCGTCCATGAAAACAGGTGTGGAGATTTTATGAGCCATACTGTACACCCCTCCTAGACATGATGCACCATCCTAGGGAGACCAGGCAGAGCAGCCCCAGAGCAAGGGCTGACTGTGCATGAGTTAGAGCACATCTGCAGTATTGTGTACCATACTGGATGCCCCGTTTTATACAGATCATCCAGTCTGGAGTCAGCCCGGAGGAAGGCAACTAGGATGTGAAAGGGTCTGAACATATATTAATACACAGAACAACTGAAGAGACCGAGAACCTCTAACCTAAGCAGAGATTAAAAGGTAAGGCAACTGTCTTCATATACCGGGGGACGCCCCAAAAATGTCAACACATTTCAGAGATGTTATCTATTACTTTTTGAAGTTGAATTGAATTACAGTAGCAACGCGTAGTATGACGTTCGCTCAAAATATGGTGTTAATCAAATGCATGCTAGCGTCACCATGCGACAGGCAGGATAGTCAAAGAAAATGTATATAAAGTGTCAGGGGTTGCTACTGGCCAAAGGTGGTACAATTTGAGGATTAAAATGAAGACGTGACAGTAATGTGTTATAACCCATTAAGTAAAATAACTCATGAGCCAATGCTAATGACAAATATCTAAGCCTTAGATTCTAAGGGCGAGCAAATGGAAAAAGGAGTAAGGCTGCTCTGTTTATAGACAGACAAACTGAAGCCACATCCCTGTGTGTCTAATATGGAAAGGAACCTGCTGACAATCAGTAAATGGATGAAGAACACAGAGGGTGGGACTTTACTCAAGAACTTTCAAAGACCCTCACTCAGCCTGTTAAATAATTGTGCATTCTGACTCATAGTCTCTAAACTTTTGCTTCTCCTCTCATAAGGGTGGGAAATTAACGTTTATTGAGTGTCTAACCAGTGCCAGGTGAGTCTATTTTACTTAATCTTCTCAAGGCCTCAGTGAGATGGGTATTATCTTTGTTTTACAGACGGAAATTAAGGCGCAGTAACTCATGCAATGTGACACAGATAGAAAGTGCCAGAGCTGGAATTTGAACCCAGGTGTGTCTGGACCCCTACCTCCCCACCACAGCACACAAAATACACACAAGGTGATTAGAAAGGTGCCCGAGGGCTCCACAGCTCCTCACATCGGCCTGTCGTGGCCCTTTAATGGTTACGTTTTCCACATCTGCCCAACCCAGCAATGTCACTATTCTAATTTCTCTGGATTAGGGACCTTTCCTAGAAACCCAGTGTTAAAATGACCCGGATCCCTGTGAGCTGTCTCTGCCCCTCCCCTCCGCACAGCCACACTTGTTTGCCCTTCTGTGAAATATGGTCCAGTTTACCTGAATCAGCCCACTTTGTTATCTTTCTCTTCTTCAGAGTCGGTTTACCTGACCTCTTAGAAACCAAAGGAGATCAGTTTCCTGGTCTTCTGGTACAGTGAGGGGACAATTTAGCACTACTGATTACATCTATGAATTCCAATAGACCAATGAATTGTTTCTCTGACGAAGGAGATTGCAGGTCAAGGCAGGCACGTGGCTACCCTGTTATCACTCTTCTGTGTTAGCAGAGTAAGAACATTCTATTATAAATTATAGCACATGGTCACAGACAGGCCCTCTCTTTATCTTACTGAAAGTGTGACTTTCAAAGTGGTTTTCCCAGTTTCATGTATGGAACACAGAATCTCTCATCATCTCCTGACCTGCTGCCCCTGTTTCCCAAGGGTTGAGAAGGTAATTGGGGGTTAATGTTCCCAGCAGGCCAGGTTCTCCAGTTGACTAAGGCTTCCTGCTTGGAGGTGGGGAAACTCCTAGGTGTCCCTAGCATATTTAAAAATATAATGTTTGTATGTTTGGCTGCTTTCAGGCGGTTAGCGGCCTCTTAATCCTGGAGTTCTCTGAGATCATGACTATGTCCCATCTGTTAATTCATTCCCCAAGTATCGCTCGATCATCGGTGTGTTCTGTGTGCCAGGGGTACAGCAGTGAAACAGACAAACACAGCCCCTGCCCTCCTCAGGGCTTAACAGCCTGGTTATAGAGACACACATGAAACGAAAATCACACAAGTAAGGATTCACACTCAACAAATAGTCCACATCTCTCTACAGTGTCCCGCACAGAGCTCAGCACATGGTGGGAGCTTTCTCACAAATATGTGAGCAGTGGTTTTGTGGAAAGTGCAGAAAGACTGACCCGCTGAGTTCATCTTAGCATTGGGAGTTCAACGCTCCGACTTTTAGAGTGAGGGGGGAAAACATGCAGCGACTCAGGGAGATCTGGGCTCTAGTTCCTGCTTTTCCACTAACTACTAGGATTTTCTTGGGCAAGTCCCTCAGTCTTCCTGGGCCTCCGTCTCCTGACTTCCAGAATAACACAGAGGCACCAGGATTCCTCAGGAATCGCGGGATGCCTGCCGTCCAGGCGTTCTCACTTAGCCTCACTTACCTTGCCAGAAGACAAGGCACGGCTGGAGCCCACGGCTTCCCAGGACAGATGGCTCTACCAAAGGGGCCTGTGTGTGAGTCAGGGCTGTGGGGAAGGCGGAGCAGCATCGGGAAGGGATGAGTCTCCTGGACCCTGAAGTCAACAGGCTCCGTCTGGACGTGGGAAACACTGCACTTCCCCTACCACCCACTGAGTGTTTAAAAAGAAGCACTCTCATTCATAGGCTATTCTAGGATATATTTCTACACGACAGATCAGAGGGCAAAGGAAAGTACCGAAATAGTTGTCTTTGTATGTTTTCACAAGTGGGAAAAAACCCACAATTTTCTAGCCACTCTGATAGTCAAAAATGGCTTAGAAACTGGAAAGCAGGGTATTAGAATGACCTGGCGTGTCCTGAACACCAGTCTAGAGTGTGATTTAGAGCTGTGATCTTAGGATGTTTGGGGCATAGCCTTTTTTCCCAGTAAGAAAAAAATTAGGAAAAATCCTAATGAATGCAGATCATCTTAAAAACAAAACAAAACCATAATTTAGCAAACTAAAATGAAGCAAGGACACAGGCTGGTGCCTGAGGCTGAAGGACTAAGCCAAAACGCTAGGTCTAGATAAACTTGGGCCAAACAGTCTTTGCATATCCACACCTTCCTCGATAAAAGCACTAAAATGCAGCACAATACCATCACAGCCTCTTCTGACCCTGAGGTGACGAAATGAGAGTAGGGTCAGAGACCAAGCCTTGCTGTGTCCCTGATGCAAATTCTGACAGCTGAACTCTTCCCCTAGCTTGAGCAGGTACACTGGGTCCTGGCTACCGTCTTCTGTCACTCCCCATCAGAGCTCCTAACTTTGTTTACTTGCTCCAAAATGTAAGAAAGCAAGCAACCCGGCTTTCTCGCAAGACTACTACATCCCTACATGCTGCTTCATGTACCGCTTCCTGGTCCTCTGCCCCTCAGGAACTGAGCCCCAATATCCGGCCAGAGGAGGGCATCATTTCCACTGGAGCCTGTTTGGCTAGGAGGCTCCTACTGACCAGCATCTCTGTGGTCATTTCCCAAATCACTGGTCTTGGTCAAACGTTGAGATGAACCCATTCGAATCATGATAAATATGAGCCAATCACAGCCACTAAGGTCTCAGGAAACTATCCCAGCCTCAGCATCCTGAGTTCCAGCTTCCCAGGAGGCAGAGCAGCCGAAGCAGCTCAGATGGGGCATCTCAGAAGGATAGGAGACCCAGACTCTCTCACTCTTCACTGTCGCCGCTTCTGCTAAACTCACAACAGGAGAGGTCTGGCTGACTGCCCCAATCTCTGTCCCCTCAGACAAGATCTCCACATGTGACCTAGCTCCTTCAGCCCTACAGAGACTACCAGCTCCTGAGGTCAGGCTCCATAGTGGGAGAAATTCCTCTGGGGGGAACTGTGCAGGGGTGGTTAAGCCAATAAGAAGATTCAGGGGAAGGTAGGAAGGGGCACTGTCCTACCTTGTCACTGTCCACTGTGTTCTGAGATGTCCTAGAGGCAATGGAGATGGTATCTGGCTGGCTGCTTCCATCCCCCTGGCTGTCAACATCCTCCACTCCATCCCTGCAGGAAGAAGAGAAAAAAAACAGGGGTGGGGGTGGGGGGAACCACTGTGGGTTTAGAGCACACAGGATTTCCAGCTGGGCTGGCAGAGCCTCAGCACTTTCTATGATAGTAGGGATTTGTCTAAAGTGATCCCACTAAAGGGAGCAGCGCTATGTGATTTTCAACAATGCCACTTCTCGTACTTAGTAAACATATAATCACTCTGTTGATAACTGAACATGAAATGACTCCTCCATAACTCCTCTGGCCCATGGTGCAAAGAGGGCAATTATTTATTCATTTAGGCCAGGAATGGGTCTATGATACGCAGTAGGAAGAGGTATATCCTACTGAGGATCTAGGCTTCTACCCAGCTGACTGAATCATCTCCAACAATCCCAGAATTCAGCGTATTCACATAGTTTTCCTGCATCCTGTAACAGGATGGGGGTTGGTTTACAGCTGGCCTATAAAGAAAACAGAGCTGACAAGATATTTTCTTTTTGACATGTGTTTCTTTTGCTCAAGAAAAAAGAGTGGGATATTTTCTCCAGGGGAGATTATCTTTGGGAAGTTCCTGCTGTTGGGCCCTCAACTCGTGGGTATGGAGGAGTTAAATGCCTTCATTTCGGTGGGTGTTGTTTGTCTCATGCTTATTTATGATGACTTCTCATGAACTCAGAAGGCCAAGGCATCTTCTCCAAGATAGAACAGTCACAGACTCCACAGCAGCTTTTGAGACGGCTGCGCTCCTGAGCGTCTGATAAGACAGTATCCCAAGTGCACTCCTGGCGTTTGGACCCCTTCATGGGCTCCTGGACTAGACAGCTGTCCACAGGTCCCAAGTTCTCCTTCAGCCCTCCAATCCTACACTGAACCCGTAGCAAGGGCCAAGGGGGACTAGATGCCTGGGCACTGTTGAAGGCTGAATGGTCTGTGTGTCAGGAAAAACTGGAGGAGATGTGGTCAGGGTTTGGACAAGTTAGCACAGGGAATGACAGCTCTTCCCATGGGGGCTTTTATGCAAGTCACAGCCCTGATGCTGCATATGGAGAAGGCATGGCTTTAGAGGGAAGGGAGACTCGCTGCCTGAGGATGTTACCACATGGGCAAAATGTCCCATGTATCAATGCTGCTTCACAGAGTCTCAACAATTACAATCTGGTATATGTGAGCGTATGTGGACATGTGTGTGTATATGGGCATACATGTGATGTGTATGTATATACACATTTCCACTAGTCATAAAGAGTGTTTCCTCCCAGCACATCTCTCAGTTAACTGCTCTCTCACCACCTCCTGTGGGCTTGGAAAATGCCAACTTATTTTAATAACAGAAGCCGCGCTTTTGTCGGAATGAAAATCTGCTATAGAAAATTATGTGATGCATTTCAAAACCAACAATAAAGGACTTTTAGATCATCTGTTGTTTTGGATATCTGGGCCACTGCTGCCCACCATTCATAGATAGGTGAGAGTTGGCTATACTTCCTGCTGCCTACTGTTCTGACCCATTGCGGGCCCTTCTGGGCCATTCCAGATGAAGCCAGTTCTGGGGGGTGTGGAGAGCCCATCCAGGAGTGTGGGTAGTATTCCCCAGGCCAATCCACTCCTCCACAAGCTCTGTCCCCAAATCCAGGAAGCCAGGCTAATGACATTATGGACTGCCTGGCTGTTCTCTGTGGAGTCTGCCAGGGCCTCTCACTGTCTCATCACAGGACAATGACAGAGGCATTTCCAAGATAGGGCCACTCCTCAAACTCTAGAAATGCTCAGACTCTCCTACTGTAGAAAGAAAGGGCTCTTTCACAGAGTAACTCCAGCCAGCCTCACCTGATATCTTTTCCCACCATGGTCATGGACATTCAGTTCTTTATGACCGTTCCATTCTATCTTCTTTATTAAAGTAGGGGCTTCCTGCAGGGGTCTGTCTCTAGTGCTAAACCAAGTATACCCCTTACCTGGACTCTGGACGTAGGTAACTGAAAATAAAATAGCCCCTCCCCCAATATAGTCATGATTTGTCCTCCCAGCACAGAGAGGTGACCTTATCCTGGCCATGCAGGTTGGGTCTTCTGCCCCATAGAGGTCTCTCTCTCTCTCTAACTTAGTCACACCCTTCTTTTGGCTACCACCTCCCTCTGGGCTAATGGTGCTTCTCCGAGGGCGCTGTGGTGGCTCCCCAACCTGTGTGTCCTGGTTGGTGCAAAAGGGTCAACTGAATCTCCTGGATTTATTCCATTCATGAATCGGGGAGGAGAGGAGAGCCTGTTACCTACCAGCAAGGACCATAACCACTACATCACTGGTTTTTGTTTTGTTTTTCTCCAAAACTGACATGAAGTTTTTGTATGCTTTCTTTTGAAGGTCCTTCCAAAAGAGTCGTTGTAGGTGACTGCCACATGGAGACTTGAGAAAGAAATACTTAAGAAGTCATCCACTGGACTAAGGGAAACTGGGACTTAAAAGGACCCAGAGAGATGAAGATACCAAAAAAAAAAGTCCTCTTCTGCCTGATCACATCGCTTATCTCAGGTGAATGAAGGTGAGGACTCTGGGGGTTGGCAGTTAGGAGCTGAAATGATAATCCCACCACCCCACCCCTCATGCATTATAGCACCCAAAGCCCTTTCACTGCCTAACGGTCCTTATTCACAGCCCGCCTCTTTCCCAAGGCCTTCCCCAGACCCCCAGTCTAGTGCTCATCTCAAGTCCTCTCTCTCTGAATCCTTACAGGGTTTACTGTTCCTATGGATGGTACGGATTCTTCTTGTCTACCTAATCCACGTGTGAGACAGGACTGTTAGATGGTTGTTGAGGGAGCGGACCCATCTCACACTTCCTTTTATCTTCTTGTAGCACCTTGTAGAGTGTGTATCAATGAGAGGTGCTCAGTGAAGCCCTGCTGAGTTGAATTGACAGGAACTGGGAAGATGCTTACGGAGGAGGAGGAGGTAACTCATGTAGGTAGGACTCGGTGGGGATCCACGGAGAGGGGTGCCACCTGCAGAGTGCCCCGCCCCTGTGGAAGCAAAAGTTCACCCCGCTCCCACTCCCAGAAGCATGTGAGGCAGTGCTGGGGGAGAGACGCTGGTTACCTCTTACTATTGTTCCTCTGTTTAGCTGGTGTTTTGGGGAGCTGAATTGGCTCCTTTAAAGCTCCTTTCAGGTGAATGATCCTTTCCTGAATCACCTCGCGTATGTTCTTGATCCACTCCTGCTTGGTTTCTATGTTGGAGGCCTGGAGAGCCACAGGGAGAAAGAGTGAGAACCCCATCTCCCTTCACCCTGCTCAAAGTTCTCAACCTTACAGGCTAGTCCATTACTTTCAAGATACCAAATGTTTGAGGAGTTTATTTCTCATTTTAGATTTCTGACTCTTCAACCCCAGGGACATGCTTCTCCAACTCCTAGAAAAGAGCTATGACCTCAAGATTCAATGTAGACTTGAACAGGGGTGATTTTCAAAGTATTGAATGGCCTGGAAGACACTGACCAATACTGATATCTGCCCTGGGGTTGGAGCAGTGCCCACTGGGCTGGGGATTAACGCTTTGCTTACTAGATTCTGGAGAGGTCTGGGGAGCACTTGGAGGGGCAGCAGGGGGCTTTGAAGGCAACTGGTATGGATACACATCAGGACGTTCAACACCTAGTATGGCTACATAGACTGTACTGACTGAAAGTCAGTCCTGGATTTTTAGCCTGGTGAACCTGAGAATTGAAGGCATTGTTCCCATTCCATGAATATCCCATTTGTCTTTGTGGAATGTTTTTCAGGTATTCTGCCTCACGACAGGTAGCAGCTATGCTGGCAATTCAGATAAACGAGTGTGAAGCTCTTGCCAGGCTTGGACCATCTTTTCCTTGGTGATGGGCACTTCCCTGACAAGCGAGTGACTGCTGGCTGCTCCGTCTGCAGAGTTTCTTCTCAGTTAGACCAACATTACCACAAGCACCGACTCAGTTCCCAGGCTGCGTGTGCTCTGGAGAGCTGACATGACTCCTTAAGACGCCTCTGCTGAAAGGCCCTTTCTTAACACTCCTCTCAATCAGCATAGTTCCCATGCTAATATAAGTTACTGGAGCTTCTAGAATGTAAGTTCCCAGAGGATAGGGTGCACATCTTATATGTAGCTATCCCCCACAACACTGGGCAGATAACCTTATATGTACAAGGTGTTCAGGAAAAAAATGTTGAATGGATGTGGAACAAAACAATTGTCAAAAGGTTAACTGTCATCCTTGACACTGAAGGGGCCATATGGACAGAACCTCTGTAAGTGGGCCCTGCTGAGGAAGCCCAATAAGCCATTCCCTGCCTTCTTCACTCCATGCTCATACAAGTGCATGGAGTTCGGAAGCCACTTGTCTGTGAGATGTCAAGCGCACGTTCATGACAGAATTTGCTTCTCAATATCCATGTGATGCTGCTCTTCCCAAGACAGGCCCAGTGGCTCGGTGGACTTTCCAGGCCCCAGCTTTTAGGTGTCAGGTGTCCACATCCCTCCACCCCCAATCGCGGTCCTATGCGCAGCAGAGAGCAGTACTTACTTTCAGCACGGTTTTATTGTCTGAGGATGGGGTGCGCCCAGACCACAAGGCGAATTTGCAGGGATCTCCCTCTACGTGTTCGGTCACACCCAGCTCTGAGGTCTGTAGACAGGAAATGCCTGTGAGAGGCGGGGAAGGGGAGGGCAGTGGGGAAACTTAGGGCTGGGGTGGGAAGGGAAAGGCAACAAAGAGGAGAGGACCGAGGAAGGGGCTTCTGTCAATCACACTTAAATAGACTGGATAGTTTGTTCCTCTACCCAGGATGAAAGGACCTACAGGCACGTGCCTGATTAGCAGGTAGCAGGGAGGGAAGGTGAAGAGGGAGGTGCTAAAAGCAAACAGGAAGAACTGCGAAGTCTAAAATGCAGAACTAGTTGCTGAGCGGGGGAGCTTTCCAAATAGGAGGCACTGTCATTTGTCCAGGCTGGGTTTGGTGTGGCGCCAGGGGAAGAGATGAGCGGAGGGTTCAAGATCCCTTCCTGCCCATGGGCTCCATGAAAACAGGGAGTCTCGTCTGACCCCACCTGTCCCACCTACCAGTAGCTTGTTCTTGTAAACATATTTCGTGTGTCCGGAAGAGTCTTTGATCTCCTTGCTAAAAACCAAGGAGATCTCAAAGAGGAACAAGTGCCGCTCCCGCCCCTTCCGGATCAGCGACTTCGGGTCCCACACTTGAAAGGCGTCCTGGAGAATCAGCTCCCCTTGCACATCCAGGTTCTCGTCGAACCCTGAAAAACACCCATGTCTACCCTGTGGAGTTTCCCTAGCACCACATCCGGGGCGCCACGCTCCACTCTCCTCTTGGAGAAAGGCCTCCTAACCGTGGGTCCTCAGCTCCCACAGCGCTTTCTCTCTCAGCTGGTTGTGAGACTCCTGAAGGCTTGAAGAGGCAGCTCTGTAGAACTATAATCAGATCCCCCTTCCTGCACCAGCGCTCCCACGCGTAACTGGTATTAGCGGAATCTCCTGCAAAGGTCCTATGCAACCGCCCCCCGCCAGCTCCACTGTCAGCCTGGGTCCTCCTGCAGGCACAAACCCTCCACACATCTTCCTCCACCCCACACTGCCCCTGGCTCAGAGCTTGGAGGGAGGCTGAGGACATACACTCCCTGATTGAGTGCCCTTGACTCCACTTTGTCGTTGTTCTATTTCTCACATCCATTCCTAGGACTCTTCCCTTTGGTTGCTCCTGTACAGTGTGGTGCACGAAACTTCAACACTTTAAACCTAACAGAAGTTCTGAAACTTCAGTGTGCATAGCATCACCAGGAATGCTTGTGAGAACACAGACTCCTGCCTATCCATCACTCCCCAAAAGAGAGATGTGGGGTGGAGCCCATGAATTTGAACTTGCAACAAGCTTCCTAGTGTTGCTGCTGGTGGTCCACAGACCACACTTGGAGTAGCTAGATCCAGAACACAGGCCAGGGACAGGCTAGAGGAGAAGGGTACACCCAGGGGTGGGGGTCAGGTGCAAACAGAAAAGGAAGGGGTGGATAAATTGTGACAACAGAAATATGCTCAGATGGTTAGTGCTCAGTCTGAAAAGGTAACCAGGACTCCTTTGCACGTAGAATTGGGGCTTCCTCGCTAAGGGTGGCCCAGGAAGTATTGAGACCAGACCAAGTTTTTTTAGATGGAGGTGAGGATGGGGAGGGGAGGTGATGGGGGAGAAATAGCCCACAAGAGAAAAAACAGCCCTTAGGTTTACATATTCCCAACAGCGTATACTTATCTCCCTTGACACCTGTTTGCCAGCCCAGGCTGGGATGAGTCGACTCATCTAATAACTTCCATCCCAATATGGCTGCTCTATCCATCTGTTCTTCGGTATTAAGAGCACTTTATTGGGGTCTCACTCTACTAGGTTTCCAGGCCCAAGAACATGGTTACAGCAGGATGAATGCACTTTGGTGAAGTCCTATCAGGTTTACCTGGCTTGACTTTTCTCACCTTCTAGGAATGAAATAAAGGTGGTTGCACACCAGTGTGAATGTACTTAATGCCACTGAATTGTACACTTAAAAATGGTTATAATGATAAACTTTATGTCATGTATATCCTAATACAATTAAAAAAAGAATGGCATAAGGCTGAAGATGATGTGTGCGCGCATGCACACGTGCAAGATTTCTACTTATTCTGGTGACAAAGGCGGTGCAAATGCTATGCAGACTAACAGGACTGCTGTGGGTGAGGGTTCTAGCACATTTATAGGAAGGATGACGGTCCATCCTAGACTGCCTTACAGGCAGCACGTTGTCCATCGGCCTGGTCCTATGTGGAGGTGGGAGTTAGCTGAGCTGACCCCTGGGAAGTTCCTCTCACACCTCTTGAGTACCTATTAACAACTGGCCATTTCTCCTCTCTTCTGGCCATGCCCCTTCCCTGATTTCATGCCACTTCCTTCCCACCATGCAAGCTCTCTGTTCTTAAGAAAGGTGGATGCTCCCCCAGGGAGGTTGTGAGGACAGCTACCTTCCAGCATGCTGACATGCATGGCATCATTGGCTTTCTTTGGGACACTGAGCATCACCTCCAGGCCATCCTTGAGTTCCCCTTTTCCTTCTTCACAGCAAGTTAAAAGTTCCTAGGAAAAAGTCCGGACACAATTAGAACCATTTCCCCCAGCTTTCCCACCCTCTTACCACCTAACCCATCAAGGCAGTTATACATCAGCTTCATTCTCTATAATGATTCCCTTTAATGTATTAGAAAAGTCAGGTGGGATGGGGGGTTATCTCCAAAAAATTCAACTACAATTTTTTTTCCCAACTGAGCTTTCTCAGATCAATCTAATCCAAACTAATTCAATGCAACCCCATTTCCAAAGGGCAGACATCATAAGTCAGCAACTAGGGCATGCACTGTCACTCGACTGCCCTCCTGGAGAAGAGAATACCCCTGGCAAAGCACACGAATAGAGGTGCAATACTGTGGAATCATGAAGAGAAGGTAGGGGTGTGAAAAGAATGCACAGCACTCATACATCACTGCACGCCTATTGTTAGCACCACTTGGATTCACACACCTCTATTACTGGAATGCTGACTTTCACCATACTGGGGGCAATCTGGGGTTACAGACATTGTAGGTTTGTAGCATTTCAGAGTTATTAATATAAAATATTTTTACATCATATGGATTAGGAGTTCCTAACCTGGGGCCAACAGATGGGATTTTCGACTATTCCTTTCATTGCTGGATGAGGAAACTGTGATTAAGAGGGACAGAGATTTTCCCCAGGTTACAGAATTCTCTGGAGGCCACGCAGGGGCTTGAATCCAGGTCTCTTGAATCCTAGTCCAGTACTCCAACCACCATGCCAACCCTGTCTCCCCCATGTCCTCCACCAGACTTCCTGGACCATGCCCTCTCTTTTACTTCCTCATTGGAGACTACGTCATTACCATCTCCATAAAAGTTATACAGTATCTGGTTGATGGAGAAAAGATAATTTCCAACTATTTTAGGAATCAAAAAGATCATATGGGATGATTTGACCCAAACCAGAAAAATGCTAGCTTCCATTTTTCTTATCAGAGTTACTGTATCTTGCTCATTTTAACACTGGGAAGGAAATCATTAAGCAACAGGTCTGCAATCTGTACTCTCTCCTTAGGGGCGTCTGGGAAGGGGGGAAGGCAGGGAATGGGTAGGAATGTACTTCCAGGAAAGAAAGAAGTTGACCAGATCAAACTAGTAAACATGCTAATTGAGTCCATATCTATGGAATGCTTTTAGTAGGATATATCTGGCCTGTCTATCTAGGACTTCTTATGGTAAACAAACCTGGAATCTATGGCTTTAGGTGCATGGCTCCCTGGAAAATATCACATAAGCTCTGCAGCTATTTAAGTAAAAAGTGAGTACATTTCATGACCAAAATGGCTCTCTTTGGGGTAAGTGATATGATGCAACATGCATCATGTAAAAACCTTGTATATTAATCTGAGCCATAGCACATCCTGAGGCTGTAAGAAAGGACTTGTAGGTGTTGGAAGTTCTAGACTTCCTTCTGTTTTACCTCTGCCTTGAGATTATTTGTATCCTTGAAATGATAGTCATGGGCTGTTTAATGATGGGGATTTGTTCTGAGAAAAATGCATCGTTAGGTGATTTTATCATGTGAACATTAGACTGCACTACACAAACTTAGACGGCATAGCCTAGGTTATATGGTATAGCCTACTGATCCTAGGCTGTAGACCTGTACAGCATGTCACTGTACAAAAGAACACGAGGTTAAATTAAGCTCAAGAGAAAATGATGTAATCAAGAGACGGGTGAACACAAGATGCATTAGGCTGCGGCCAGTGTAACATGGTATACTGTCTTAGAACAAACTTTTTTTTTATAAGTAGAAAGTGTACGCTCTAAAATAATGATAAAAACTATAGTATAGTAAATACAGAGGATGCCAAAAAATGTATAAATTTTTTAAGAAAGGAAAAAACTGTATTAAAATTGTAATACTCAATATACACCGATAACAAAAAATGAATACAAGTCGTGTATATATATTTTTTGGCACCCCTGGTATATAAGCCAGTAACATAGTCATTTATTATCATTATCAAGCATTATGTACTGTACATAACTGTATGTGCTATATATATATATTTTTTTTTTAAGATTTTTATTGGGGAATTGGGGGATGGGAACAGTGCTGGGGAATTGGGGGAAGGAGAACAGACAAGTTGCTGTCCTTTTGTTCTTCAGTCTAGTTGTGGAGGACGTCGCTTCACTGGCCCAAGTTGGCACCATCATTGCGCTCTTCCTGGGCGAGGCAGATCAGTCGCCGGCTTCTGGACGGCTGCTCACGGCAGCTGCTGGCTGCTAACGCTGGCTGCTGGCCGCTAACGCTGGCTGCTGGCTACAAACAGTAGCCCATAGCAACCCACTGCAGCAGGGGCTGCAGCCTACGCTGTCACCAGTGATTCATGGCAGCCCAGCTCCAGGTTGAGCTGTTGTTCAGCATCTTAGCTGTACAGGGCAGTGTCACTGGCCCTCATATGTGGGATCCAAACTGGGGCCCTCTGGCATCCCAAGCCAGCTCTTAACCAACGCGCCACTCAATCGGCCCTGTGCTATATTTTCATATGACTGGAAATGCAGGTTTGTTTACACCAGCATCACCACAACATGAGTAATGCATTATGCTATGTTATTACAATGGCTACACCGTCACTAGGTGATAGGAATTTTTCAGTCCATTTTAATCTTATGGGAGCATCATCATCCTATATGTGGTCCATCATTGACCAAAATATCATTATGTAGTATGTAACCAAATTAGTAAAGCTTTACACTTGGTAAGATATATGATTAGTGAGCATCTGATATGAAAATCCAATCCTTTGTGTTATCTTGGATACATTCCATATGAAGAAGGGAGATTTGGGTGTCCATAGAAGAGAAGATATGTCCAGAGCACCTGCCTGGAAGGTAGAAGTGATCAGCTCTCAGTTCTGTCCTTGGTACCAATCAGTATAATGGCGTCATGGTTCAGAAAGTTGTATTCACTTCTGCTACCCAACGTTCTCTGATTCTTCCCACTCCTTTCCTAACTTTAACCCTCCCAACCTTGTTTTCATACATCATCGAAGGAACTTCTAAGCAGAAACATAAGAGAGGAATAAGAAATATGCTTTAGTTTACAACAGAAAACACCAATTAGTTTAACCCCTGAGGTGATTCGGCAAGTCCACTAATCAACCAGAAAAGCCAATAAGTCCTTCTTAGATCCTGCTACAGTTTATGGTAAAGAGAAGGCTGAACATTTAACTTACACCCCAAACGGACAGCTATAGCAGATTTACATGAAGACTATTGAACACTCTAACTGATATGTAGTTTTTTTCTTTCATGTGACACCTAAATTGAGGAACCCCAGAGGATATTGATAATTAAATATCAGTTTATTTGGAATAAAACTGACTTTAATGAGAAAATAAATCCCATATTATTTATTTATAGCAAAAGCTCAGCAAACTATTTCTTTTACTCAGCAGACACTCTGCTACCAGCACATTTAAAAGAGGCAAGGGCCGGCCGAGTGGCATGTTGGTTAAGAGCTGGCTTGGGACGCCAGCTCTGAGCAGCAGGGCCCTGGTTCGGATCCCACATGAGGGCCAGTGACACTGCCCTCTACAGCTAAGATGCTGAACAACAGCTCCACCTGGAGCTGGGCTGCTGTGAGTCGCCGGTGACAGCGTAGGCTGCAGCCCCTGCTACAGTGGGCTGCATAAGCTACCGTGTGTGGCTGGCAGCCAGCGTGAGCAGCTGGCAGCCAGTGTGAGCTGCCAAGAGCCACCGTGAGCGGCCGTCCAGAGGCCGGCGACCGATCTGCCTCACCCGGGAAGAGCACAATGATGGCACCAACTTGGACCAGTGAAGCAACGTCCTCCACAACTAGACTGAAGGACAAAAGGACAGCAACTTGTCTGTTCCCCTTCCCTCAATTCCCCAGTGCTGTTCCCCTCCCCCAATTCCCCAATAAAAACTTTAAAAATAAATAAATAAATAAATAAATAAATAAATAAATAAGGCCAAAATTATCTTAAGTCTCTTTTCCAGTAACTCCACGACTGCTCCACAATCAAATTCCCCCTACTTTATTTTTACCCCTCTCGGTTACCTGCATGGTCATCTCTTCCGAAAACATTCAAGACAAAATGAAGCCCCAGAGCCTACCGCTTCATCTGCCCAAAGCAAACCACAGGACAGCCTATCTATTCTCCACTTCCCTCCCTTGCTCCTGTCACAACATCAACCCTAGCAACCTCAGCTTTATGGGATTAAAAGGGAGAGGGGGAAAGCTAGATTTCTCTTAGAACTATATGTTAATTGATTTAAGACACCGGCAGTATGGATTGGTGAGGTTTGTTTTGTGTGTTTTTTTAATTCACAACTGCACCAATTCCCAAAAAGTGTTTAAGGATACGTAAACTGAAAACAAACAAACAAACATAAAACTAAAATTAAAAAATCTTCTGGCATAAGAAAAATCATTTAGAAGCGGCAAGCATTACATGAGATAGGGAAGGAGAGTATAATTACACACAGAAATCTGGACTAAGGAGAAAGGACTACAAGTAACCACAGAACTCAGTGCTAACTATCTGATAGTCAAAGGCAAAGAAGGATCAGAAGCTCTTGAGATCAAAGGTAGAACGCACACCAGTTTTTAAGAAGAGAGTCCCCCACCCCCATGCCCTACTCTGAGATCTTACGAGAATTGGGGCTCTTTACATAAGAAACTTCAAAACACAAACAGGGTGGCATCTTCAAAAACAGTTCTCCCAAAACTGCCGCAACATCCTGCACATTATTTCTCCCACTCCTCCTCAGTCAAGGCCAAAGGCAGGACACTGCACTGGAATTCTCTAAGTCGTTTCTGTAGGGATGGATGACGTGAGCACCTGGGAGCAGGAGCCCATAGTCTCTTCTTGGAGGCAGGAGGGAGGTTTGAACAAGGAGGCTGAAGGGAAAGGATGGTGCATGGGCCTACCCTGACTCAGAGGCCTAATGAAAGGTCCAGGGCACAGGTTCGCTGCTGTCCCCACCCTGTTCATCACAAGCACTAAGCTGCGAGGCCCCATGGACCAGACCAGTGGGCACACTCTGACATGACTACAAACCTAGATTTGAAACGAGACTAGTTTTTCAGGCTTAGTGAAGCTAGAATATGTGAGATTCTGCAAGCATCTCTGTACACGGGCTGAATGTCATCAGATCTTTCTCTGGAACTATACTACTTTATTTAACATGCCTATCACAACCATTTGCATATAAGGAGCAACTAGCAAAATATTCAAACTTAGGGAAAACTCCCTTCTTACCCCTTGCGAAGTAACATAGACAGAGGCTATGCAACTGCCTAATAATAGCAATTTCCCAGGGTTTCTGTGGGCAAATGTCTTATTTTTCAGACTGTTACTGTATCCTTCTCTGAAAACCATCTGCCCAAATTACTTAGCATTTTACATAATTTCATTATTTGACTTGAAAAGGTTTTGGAGAAAATCTAAATCTCCAAGTTGGCTCCAGAAGAACCCAGAACTCATGATGCTACAGAGACAAGGACGATGCTGTGTTTTAATACGCGATCCTCAACTGTTTTCTCTCAAAAACCTCATAATCTTGACAAACACAGAGATGAATACAATGGTAGATGTTGCCCTGGGCACTGCTCATGCAGACTGGCACTGCCCCAAGACCTTGACCCCTGACCTTAACAGAAGCAGGGGCCACCGGGAGGAATCGACCCCAGGAGAGAAGGATGGGAGAGGCTCTGAGTACCAGCCAATCCCTAAAAGCTGTGCAGTGGTGAGTGGGTGTGAAAATAGTCACAGCCTGTTCCTGCTTCCATTTCTCCTCTTTCCCCCAGCGACGAAGCATCTGGAATTTCATGCAATAGGACATGCAGTCTGCAGCAGGCAATGCCAGTGTGGGTTCACCTCTGAAGGTTTGCTCTAGGTAGAGGGAAGGTCTTCAGGAGGAGGTTTTCCCATCTTTAGGCAAAGCTGGGACTCCCCGGGCTGGGGCAGCAGTTGGGGGTGACACGGGGAGAGGGGAGGTACCTTCAGGAGCAGCTGGTACTTGGTGATTCTCTGGACAGGCTTAATTAGGTAGGAAGAGATGGAGTTGGCCAGACCATGCCGCTGCTGTATTTCCTACAGGGATGAAAACAGGCACCGTTAGACATGGAGGGGCATGGGTATGTGTGTGTTATGGGAAGAGGCAGGCAGGGTAAGAAGAGAGGAGAAAAGAAACAAGAGTAGACAATTATGAGAAACTGTTCTTTGATGGGGAAAGGGGAGTAGAAAGAGACACTAGAAAGGCCAAGATGCATATATAAATAGAAAAAAAAGGAGAGACGGTGAAAGGGGAGGAGCTTTGGGGAAAGGAAGCAGATCTGTGAACGGAACGGAACTAAGAAGAAATGGAGAAAGACAAAAGTAGAAAAAGAAAGCGGTGAGGTAAATAACAGACAGAAGGGTAAAGGAGAGGTGAAGTAGAAGCGAAAGGAATTAAACCCAGAAGGGAGGAAATGAAAGGGGGATTAAAGGGAAGGCGAGAATAAAGGCAGAGAGCGAGGCTTTGATTTCTATTCCGATGACTCTCGAGTCTTTATCTGCTTGCTCACAGTCAGTCATCTTCTTACAACCGCACAAAGATAGCTCTCTTTTCCCATCCCTCTTCTCTTCAAATTCAACACATCCCAACTTAGAATCACCACTTTTTCCTTCTAACATTTTCATTGTGATCAACGGTACCTCCCTAGTCTTCAGGTCTGCTGAGTTGGAAACCATGGAGTCATTTTCAGTTGTTTTCCCTGACAACAAGGACAGACACGTCTTTCCCATCCATTTTCATTGACACTACCCATCATTCACGTCCAGGATAAGACCATGGCCTCCAGTGCTGGTTGTCCTTGTGGTCTCTCATTGCAGTCCACTCTCTATCTTCTACTCCCAAGACTGAGGCGTTTATGGAGGTTAGAGAAGGGTACACTTTATTCCCTTCCCTCAAGAACCTCATATTTTAGGTAGCTGAGAATACACACACACATAAAATAGAGAGCGAAAAAGGACAACAGAAAGTATTCTTATTGGTCACAGCCAGCGAGGCTAGAGAGGAGACACTGGGTCCAGGAGTGGTCATCGGTGGTCTTATAGAGACAAAGCCTTCATCTGGGGCTTAGAGAATAGGTAGGGGTGGTGAAGTGGAAAGTGGAGGAATGATACTCTATAAAGGGAAAACATAGAAAACAAAGTACACAGGAAAGAATCATTGTGTATTTAGATGGTAACAAGGACCATGCCTGAACGGTGCAGAGGATATACCTCTAGAATCTAAAAACAGTGAAAAATACAGTTAGATAAGCAAGATTTATTTAGGTCATTGATGGGGTTGAGCTAGACTGAAAAATAGGGTTTGATGGTGAGCTTCTCAATGGTAAAGTACGGAACATCTTACTGGAAGAAAAACATGATGAAAGCCATGATTCAGAAAGAGTAATATAAGCCCAATAGCAACATAGGGGGTGGAGGCTGGGAAACAGAGACAGGCCAGTTATGTTACTATAAAAGCTCAAGTGTGTTAAACATAGTTACCATGGTCCAGCAATTCCACTCCTTAGGTACATACCCAAGAGAAATGAAAACATTTGTTCACACAGAAACTTTACACAAGGTTTACAGCAGTATTATTAATAATAGCGACAAGGTGGACACAACCCAAATGTCCATCAACTGATGAATGGGAAAAAAAAACGTGGCCTATCCATACAATGGAATACTATTTGGCCAAAAAAGGGAACGAAGTACTGAGACATGCTACACATGGATGAAACCTTAAAAACATGTGAGAGAGGTCAGTCACAAAAGAACACACATTATATGATTCCATTTTTATGAAATGGCCAGAATAGACAAATTTATCGAGATAGAAAACAGATCATGGTTGCTTAGGGCTGGGGGAGCAGGGCCGGAGGATAAGCTGGGGAGTGATACTTAAAGGGGTAGGGTTGCTTTTTGAGGTGATGAAAATATTCTAAAATTGACTGTGGGGATGGTTGCACATGTCTGTGAATATACTAAAACCATAATCTATTACTCTATATATTTATATCTCCAGGTGTGTGACATGGGGGCTTGCCCTAAGTGAAGATTAGTGAGAACAAAGCATTGGAAGGAATAAAATAAACATTTTAGAGTTAGACAAGATAGGACTTGCTATGCTGCCATAGAGGAGGGTGAAGAAGAGGGGGCGATAAAAAAAACTTTGGCTGGCCAAGTGGCTCAGTTGGTTAAGAGTGCGAGCTCTGAGCAACAGGGTCACCGGTTCGATCCCCACAAGGGCCAGTGAGCTGCTCCCGAATTGAGCTGCCTCTGAGCTGCCATCAGGTGGCAGGATGGCTCAGCTGGTGAGAGCACATGCTCCTAACAACAAGATTGCTGGTTCGACTCCCGCATGGGATGGTGGGCTATGCCCACCCACAACTAAGATTGAACACAGCACCTTGAGTTGAGTAGCTGCAAGCTGCCACCGGGTGGCTGGATGGCGGCTGGACTTGGAGCTGAGCTAGCTGAGCCCTCCACAACTAAGACTGAAGGACAACAACTTGGCTGTTCCCCTTCCCCAATTCCCCGACACTGTTCCCCTTCCCCAATTCCCCAATAACACCTTTAAAAAATAAAAGTAAAAAAAATAAAATAAAATAAAAGCAGAGTTGGTTTAAAAAAAAAATTCCATTTCCTTTCAATTATCCCAGAAAGAAGCAATTTTCTCCCTCTTATCCCTTTTCCCTAGAGGACTTGTTCATGGGTGATGGGCAAAACAGCTGGCAGCTTCACTCTCTTTGGGCAAGTGAACATTCTGAGTTTCTCTGGGGGTTTGGCAGGACAGCACAGGCAACAGGTCAGTGTTCCCTCTCTGACGAGGTTCCCAGCTCTGGAAAGGCTGCATGTAACGCAGTGAGGAAGGGGCTGCCACCAGGGTCTACGTCAGCAAACCAAGCTTATTAATCCATCAGACATCACAGCCTCAGTTCTCATATCTGGAGTGGAAAATTCTGGGTAATGTGAATGTGTGGGCCTTTCCAGGACTTCAATTTTCTGTGTTCTCATTACAATAATGGGTAAGAATAGGCTGCCTTTATTAAGGGTTTATTGCTTTTACAGAATGGGGGCCTCAAGTGTAGACTTTAGGGGATGGTTTCTGAGTGTAGAACTTAGGGAACCCCTTCTGATGTAATGGAAGAGAGTTACAAAGACTATGCTTTCTGGAAAGCTGTGGGAACAATATGAGAGTTTACTGCTTTTCCTCCCCACCTCCAGGACCAGGAACTCCTACTGCACTGGATTTCTGGCTTCCATTGGCCTTTCCAACTAAGGTAGGGGCTCATCAGGCACTGTGTTGGAAATAGAGGATAGGGTGCAAAATTGGGGGTAGATCTGATTTATCAAAGTCGAAAAAATTGGCTGGAAACAGGAATATGAGGAATGTAGGACTAAGGGCAACTACAGTTTCATGTCAGACCCTGTGATGTGTACAAAATGAGCCAGGCAAACCATCAGTCAACCTCACGGTGGGGAGGTATGTGCCAAATGCTATAAGAGAGATGCAAAGTATAATGCGTGCATAAAGCAAGGATTCATGCAGGAGGTAACACTTGACTTTTAAAGCATAGAAAGAATTCTGAAGAGTGACTCTGCATGTGCGTGTGTGTGTGCACATGTACCTGCACGGACAGAGAGGTCATAATCCATTCTCAGCAGAGAGAGTAGTGTGAGCAAAGATAGAAAGCAGAACAACAGTAAGGCATGCTCGGAGCACAGGGTACTACATACGTTCAGAAAAATGTCAGGTGGAAGACAGACACAGTGCATTTAAAACTTCAAAAAGACCCTTTAGGATACATGATTAAGCAAAGATAACAGCATAGAGTATCTAATATGATATCCAATAAACTCTGATACCAAGTTAGAGAAGTGCTTTCTTTGGGTTTTCTGTTTTATCAAATCTAACCTCAGAAATTCCAGTTTGGGACTCTTAGGACCATTCCCATATTAATGCTTCACTTAAAAAAATCATGTATGTTTTTTCTCGTCTGACTTTCTCCCTTCCAGTGTCATTCTTTCACAGAACAGTAAGATCTTTGTAGAATCATTTCTGTGATGGCAACGTCAGGCTAGGAAGATGTTCAGAGGTTTATTTTGTAAACTTGAGCATGGAAACTGTATTTGAATATCTATGTTCCCCACAGGGCATAGCACAATATCTTGCATACAGTAGACATTCAAATATCTATGGAAGGAATGAAAGCAGATAGGAAGAAAGACAGAAAGGTAGATGTTAAAAAGTTCTGGATTTCAAGCGTTTGTCACTTCTGATAGGACGACCAGAATGGCCACCACTGCTACAGTCTATCTCTCACTGAACTCCCCTTTTCCCCTCACTTCTTCTCTCCCTCTTGTTCTTCCCTTGAATCCCGCAATGACCCATTTGATTCTGTTCACTTTAGGTCGCTCTTTGGGGACTACACAGACTTTCCCATCATTCACCAACAGGACTGTGTCCTCATTCAGGACCAAAGGCTGTGACGAGCTACATCCACCGCGACTCTTCTCCTGGTTTCCACTGCGGCACAAGTGCTCAACCCTGGCTGCACATTAGGTTCACCTGGAAATTTCTAAAACTCTCACCGCCCAGCCCAAACCCAGGCCAATCATATCAGAATCTCAGAGGTGGGACCCAAGATCAGTCGTTTTCAAAGGCCCCCAGGTGATTCCAATGTGTAGCCAAGGTTGAAACAATTGCATTAGAGTGGTGATTCTCAAACGTCAGTGGGCATCAGAGTCACTGGAAAGCTGACTGGAAAGTCTGTAAAACTCAGATTGTCGGGCTCCAGCCCTGGAGATTCTGATTCAATAGATCTGGAGGGAGGTGTCCAAAATATGCATGTGCAACAAGTTCTTGGGTGATCCTGATGTTGCTGGTCTGGGGACCACACTTTGAGAATCCCTACGTTTGAGGGAGCTATATATGAAGTGGAGGTGAAACATCTTAACACCTGCATTATAGGGGGCTTCCTCTACCTATGAGGTTTACGACTAGCTCAGGTTGCTGTTCAGGCATGGGGGCAAGTGTGCCTTGTCCAAAATCACAGCACTTGAGATGGGATGGGGTCAAAACCACCAACCAACCAATCAACCATGGCTTTTGTTTCCCTCCGTTGCTTTATCCATGAGATAGAAGTTTAGAGTGGCCAGTAAAGAAAAGTGAGAGACAGAGGATAGTTAAAAAACCATTATCCCAAAGTAGAGAAGCATTTCCTCTTGTTCAACAATGGCTCAAAAATGGAAAGTGGCAGCTTACATCAAAGAAGGTGCCTGCGTGCTCCAGGATCAGCTGGTTGGAATCGGGCTTGTTTTTACAGTAGGTGACATACATCTGAAATTTGTCCGCCTAAAAAGAACAAAGACAATAACAGCTAAGCATCCATTAACTGCTTCCTTCTGTTGACTATGCCTACAGGGCCCAACAAGGGCTGTGCAGTTAAACCCTCAGATACCGTGTTGCACAGGATTATCTGTAGCAAATATTCTGGGCTCTTATGGCCCACGCTCCCCTAACAAGCTTTGGGTAGCTTTTCTCCTATCAGCAGGAGAAACCTCACTGAAAGTGAGCTCATTTTAATACTAGTCTGTGCTAGAAAGAATTAGAAAAACCAATTCACATATCATAACATATTCTGAAGTTGGACGGAATTTACTTAGACATTATCTATCTGCTTTTTTGGACTATCTATAATTGTGTTTCCTTCCCATCTTAAAAATGACAGCATTTGCTCTAAAAAAAAAATCAAAGAATGAAAATGAAGTATGATCTCAGAAATAGATCTGCTTGTACTCCAAATGTCTCCATTGAGGGTAGTTTGTAAGGTGTGTCAAGGGACTATATGCTGTCACCCCCAATTTCGCAAAAGCAATGTTCGGGAGAAAGGAAAGCAGGGTGACCCTTTGGGGCAGGGTCTGAACAACGAGTCTTAACCCGATTGTTCAAGTCAAGAACCTTATGGCTTCGTGAAAACTCATTTGTTATTTCTCTCCAGACCCTCTGGGTTAGTGTTACACACCCTTTCCACTGAGAAAGATGTGTTTATTTTGGCCACCGAGTACTTTTCCCATGTGTGAAATGCTGCCTCTCTTCGTGTCTCCTGAACATTTGGGATGTCCTCTTCTGAAAAAACAGCCTAGATATGCATTAATTAGAGCAGGTTTCTAAATGATCTATCTATCTATCTATCTATCTATCTATCTATCTATCTATCTATCTATCTATCCATCTATCTATCTATCCATCTATCATCTCACTCATTTGATCCTCATGAGAACCCTATGTGGTTAGTTCTATTACAATCATCCCCATTTTACAAATGTGAATACTGAAGCACAGGTTGGTTAAGTAACTTGAAATTCCCATAGTTAGAAAGCGGTAGAGCCCAGGCAAACTGACATCAAGCTTCTTGATCGTTACCATACATTACAAACAACTTTCTACCCTTTACTCCTGAAATACCATATGTTAGGATTATGAGACTTAAGAAAGTAACCTTGGGGTAATTTTTGGCAAAATATGCACATTTTATACAATCACCAAAGGTTTTACGAAACCAATTTTGGGTTTATATATTACCTGGGAGGCATTCATCATTCCCTAAGAAATAATGATAAATCATATTTATGGTTGATTGTAAGGCAAATCCACAAACCTTATGAAATAAGATATTAATACAAAAACATCCCTTCATTTAATGGTGAATCTTGTTTTTTCTCTACATTGGCTGTGCAAGGGGTCATATGGTGTTTATCATCATTAATGTAAAATATGCATGGGCTCATGTATTTAGAGGTAGAAAATATATTAGCACAAAATAAGATGGCAGTCTGAAATGTCCTTCAGAAATGAGAGAATGCCAGGAGGCAAATGTGAAGGTTTCATGAAAAGAAAGCAACTCAGGGCTTGAATTGTGGAACTGACTGTGATATTTATTGCTTGTCAGGGGACTAGTCAATCTCCTAGCTCATGTGACATGCTTCCATCTATAAAATATAAAACAGAACCACAGCCGTGCCTATTCCATAGGGCTGTTGAGAGCATAAACTCTTGATTCCAGAAGGCATTTTGAAAAGTAATTAGCCCATTTTGAGTGGAAGTTACAATTAGATAATTACTAAGTAGTAGAACTCCTGACCCTGGGGAAGGGTTTCCATGTTTAGTTGCACTGAGTGTCCTAAGTGAAATGCCCTGGAGACCTCTGCACTCATATCATGAACCTGACCTCAGAATCACGTGCCGTGGAGATGCTAATGGAGGCTGTTTCCATTTATACAGTCAGAACCTGGTGCATTCAGCCCATTGATGAGGCTCATGACAATAGCTCCAAGAAAAGGAATGACTAGACATTCATCTTGTAGGTCAGAATTAGGGTGGACACCCAAGGAGTCGGTTCTCTATTAAGGAAGAAAATGTAACCCATGGTTTGGTGTTTTGATGGATTCCTAAAATTCGAATTCCCCAATCCTCATCCAGCTTAAAACAAAACCGAAAACAAACCAAACAAAAATTAGTGGACGGAGCTCAAGTAGTTCCTCTACCAAGGATGGTGGTCTTGTTCCAAGCTCCTGATATATCAATTTTAGAAAGTGCTTAGGAAACTTAACAGACATAATGTCTAAGGATTTTTCCCAGAGAGGGCTCTGCTCCTCAGGGAGGGGCTGCTTCTCTCAGACCTGCTCTTGGCCCTTCTCTACAGTCCCTGGTCCTATGATAGAATGTCAGTGACACCAATCCTCAGGCACCGAATAACGATGCCATCCGGTACCATCTGTACTTCTGGAAAGCATGGGACAGTGCGAGAGGAAGGATTCAGGTCGGTTACCCAGGTAACAAAGCAGTGTCCCACATCCTCAGGTAGCTGCTCGTACTTTTCCAGCTCTTTAAGGAAGATGCTGTGAAGGGAGAGAAAGTCTGCATTAGACATATGTGTACTGCTGCCCTCCACCGCACAGAGAATTATGCTGAGGCTAATACAACCCTCCATTATTCACACATGGCTTCTCCACTAAGTGATAATGTGGTGAAGAGCAGTTTAAAATATGTTGGAACTAATTTCATTAAAATTTATATTAACTAATAATAGTGCTACTTAAAATAATTTCCCTTAGGGGTTTATATTTCTCAGGCTGAAAATAGAAATATTATACTTGTGTTGAGCCTTTCATTTTAATAGCAACTATGAATCTATTTTTTATACAAGTAATCTGAGCCTATTGTAACATTTTAAAAATATATAGATATAGATATCAAAAAGAACGAAATAAATATCATCTACAATCCCAGAGATAAAGTGGAAAAATTTTGAATCTTACAATGAGTTCTTTCACCAGTAGCCAGTTTGTGCTAAAAACTATGACTTAATGTTTCCTAACTATGAGTTAATGTTTCCTAATGTAGACAACATTAGGAAAGAAAATTTAATAGGGAAAAAGTTACAATACATTTTAAAGTTGAATCACTACTGAATTATCTGCCATTCTGGATATCTGTGCCATGGCTCCTTTGTGTTAATAAATAATAAAGAGTTGATCATACTGACTTCAAATTAATGTATTAAATAATGGATTTGAGGTCAGAGTATATAAATTAATAGTCAAAGTACAATTTCAGTGATGCAAGATAAGTTCTGGAGATCCACTACATAGAACAGTACCTATGGCTAACAATATTGAATTGTATACTTAAATTTTGCTAAGAGGGTAGATCTCATGTTAAATGTCTAATAACAATAACAATAATAGGAAACTTTCAGAGGTTATGGGTATGCCTATTGCCTTGATGGTGGTGATGGCTTCATGGGTGTATACTTATAACCAAACTCATCAAATTGTATATATTAAATGTGTACAATTTTTCACATGTCAATCATACTACAATAAAATGGTTTTTAAAAAAATTTATTACCATAGGAAACCAGGTGAAGGAACAGGGTGGATGAAGATAGTAGTAGGTGGGACTTCTCAATCTATACTTTTATATTTGAATTTAAAAATTAATTAAAAAATTAAATAAAAAAAATTAAATAAGATATAAAGCAGTTCTGAATTATTGTACTACTTACCGCTACCATTGGAAAAACTAAATTTTATTGCTCTGACTTATTCTATCTGGCTCTATTGTCCAAGCATTCCAGCAGTATCTTTTTTTTTAAATTATTAGTTTCAGGTGTACAAAACAACATAATGATTAGACATTTACACCCCTCACAAAGTGATAAACCCACCTAGTCTACTACCCATCTGACATGGTACAGAACTGTTACAATACCATTAACTATATTCCCTACACTGTACTTTACATCATATAAATATACAGAAGGTACCAAAAAAAAGTATACAAGTGGACAGTTTGGTCACTGTTGCTCAAGCAGTAGTTAGCCTTAATCAGAAGTGTCTGGACACTGATGGTAACCACTTGGAGCACCTCTTGTAATTGCAGAAGTCAAACATGACTTGTATTCATCTTTTGTTATTGGTATATATTATTACCATGTTAATAGTTCTTTCCTTTCTTAAAATGCGTATACATTTTTTTGCCACCCTCTGTGTATGTGTGTGTGTATATATATTATATATGTAATTATATATCTATTTTGATTACAGTTGACATTCAATATTATTTTATATTAGTTTCAGGTGTATATCGCAGTGTTTAGGCATTTATACAATTTAAGAAGTTATCCCCCGGATAAGTCTAGTACCCATCTGACACCATACATAGTTTTTATAACATTATTGAGTATATTTCCCATACTGTATTGCACACCGCCATGACGATTTTGTGACTACCAATTTGTACTTCTTAATCCTTTCACCTTTCTCAACCATCCCCCCCAACTCCCCTCCCATCTGGCAACCATCAGTTTGTTCTCTGTATCTATGAGGCTATTTCTGTTTTGTTTGTTTATTCTATTATTTTTATTTGTCATATAAGCGATATCATATGGTATTTGTCTTTTTCTGACTCATTTCACTAGCATAATATCCTCTAGGTCCATCCATGTTGTTGCAAATGGTAAGATTTCATTCTTTTTTTTTATGGCAGAGTAATACTTCATTGTATAAATGTATCCCAGCAGTATCTTATCATTACAATTGGTTATGGGTTCTATGTGTGTATTATTGTATTCTTCCTTCAATGACATAGAAAGATGTTTTTGGTTTAAAAAATATATATGTACAATTAAAAATATTTGGCAAGTCATATTTGGAAGGTCAAAATGCTAATAATGATAGGTGGGATCATAGATAACATATATACATATGTATATATACATACATACATATATACGTGTGTGTATATATCTGTACTTAGAAATTTCCTACACTAAATGAGTGTGACTTTAATCATAAGAAAAAGTCACTTAAAAATTTTGCAGACTCCCAGCAGTACCCATTTGATGATAGCATCTTTCCCCTTACATGTGAATTTTAGAGTATCTTGATCAGAATCACAGAGCAGGAGTAATTAAAATGCAATTTGAGCTTCTGAAATGCACATATGAAGCACTCAAAATCAATAAAATATCACATCTACTACTTTTAGAAGAATTGCAGGCGACACACATATATTTAGCATAACTTCTAAAACAGAAATAGGAAAAAATATTATATAATGCTATAATTGAGGATTAAACCTTTTTCAAGGCCAAAAAGGAAATATCCTTTGCAAAGAGAAGCAATCTGGCTCATTACTGGATTATTAATATGTGAATTCTGCAAAATTTCCATAACATATTAATATATTAATATAATATTAATCTATTTTTAACCTATATTTTTATTTCTGGAAGTGAATTTTAAAAGACTTTTACTATGTGTCTCTTTTCCACGAGAAACCCTAAATAATATAATGTATTGGGTTGTCGGAAAAGTCATGACATATTTTTTCTGTTTTTTGTTGCAAAAATGCGTCACGACTTTTTCTTTTCTTTTTTTTTAATTGGGGAATTGGGGGGTGGAAACAGCGCTGGGGAATTGGGGGAAGGGGAACAGAAAAGTTACTGTCCTTTTGTTCTTCAGTCTAGTTGTGAAGGACGTTGCTTCACTGGCCCAAGTTGGCACCATCATTGCGCTCTTCCCGGGCGAGGCAGATCAGTCGCCGGCTTCTGAACAGCTGCTCATGGTGGCTGCTGGCCACTAACGCTGGCTGCTGGCTACACACGGTAGCCCATGACAACCAACTGCAGCAGTGGCTGCAGCCTATGCCGTCGCCCACGACTCACGGGAGCCCAGCTCCAAGTTGAGCTGTTGTTCAGCATCTTAGCTGTGGAGGGCAGTGTCACTGGCCCTCATATGTGGGATCCGAACCGGGGCCCTCTGGCCTCCCAAGCCAGCTCTTAGTCAACGCACCACTTGGCCGGCCCCGTCATGACTTTTTCAACAACCCAATACAACATCTTCACAAGTAGCTTGTTTAGAAGGCGTTGAGAGGTTCTCATATCAGCCTTCAGTATAAATCTCAGTGACAATGAGTGGAAATCCAGTTCTGAGCCATAGTGGACTGAACAGAGCCTGGAAATGGGGACTGGAATGGCTTGGCAAGTGGGGGGAAGAGAATCTGATGAGCTATTCTACGACAGAATAGAGAAAGGAGAACCTAGTAGGAAGAAAGAACTTTGAAGAAAAGAGAAAAAGGAAAAAGGGGAGAATCTGGGGGCCGTGGGCACCAGGATAAGTGCTCTCAGCTTTCAGGAAACCTCCACTTCCCCACTCTCAGGATCTTACTCTGGCCCCCTAAATTCTGACTTCCATGGTACATAGGCCCTTCTTTTTTAAGGGTGATCAATCAATAGTAAAACAGTCTGCATCATGGCATTCCAAGCCGGAAAGAAAATTATATTTTTGTTTTAGGAGTTGCAAGGATACCCATGATGACTCAGGGAGACTTTTCCTCTTTCCTTGACTTATGACTCAAGCCTGCTCACTTCAGAATAATTTTTGGCAAACAGTGGTAATTATACCCACAGAACTGATCATTCATCGAGACACTGAAGACAGGGCCAGCAACTTTATTTAAGAGCCTGGTCATTTAAATAGGACCCTGACTTTTTTGTGATAGCTATGAAAAGCCTATGAGAGGATACTCAGTTTGAAAATCCTCAAGAAATGAAAGCACTATAAAATGAAGTAACTGCATAGACTATTACGCCTACAATTACTGCTTGTCTGGAAAAGGGAAGTTCTAACAGCAGCCGCCACTAGCCCACCCTTCCGCTGATCCACGTCTTTCCTTTCCTCCCACCAGGGGGCGTGTCTTCCAAAGCCTCAGTTTTCTCACCTTTAAATAACAATGTTGTGGGGTTGTTGTGAGGATTTAATAAATCCCCATAGTTAAAGAACCCAACCCGGTACCTGGCATGTAGTAGGCGTTAAACAAACATTCGTTCTTCAAGATGGGTGCTTTCCAATCTTAACAAACTCATGCTCTCTTTGATAAACACATAGTATATCTCACACTCTTCTTCACTCCAAGAGACTTATATTGAGGGAGCTCTCCCCACCAAGCCTCTGCTAAAAAATCTGTAGCAGATTACCTTCCCCGAAACCATATCCTGCGAAAATCTTGACTGGGTTTCAATGCAAACATTAGATTCCAAGGTCACATACCATTTAAGTTTGGGAAATGCTGGGGGTAAGCTGGTTTCTTTACTGCAGGACTTCCAAAATCCTATAATATGATGAGGTGCATTATAAATCTCTGAAGTGATATTGTGTGTAGTGCTTCCCACCTTCTTTGCAAATGGAACACTTTTGGTGGGAGTATCAGGCTTTGTCTCAAGGAGCACAGTTGAAAAACCCTAGTTGGTGGTCCCCACGCCTGGCTGTGCACTGCCCCCTGGGGACAGGGTCTGAGTACGTGCATTGGTTAGAAAAGCTCCCTGGGTAACCCT